TCCGTCAAAAACCTGTCTCTGAAACCATAAGTCCGATTTTGACTAAACTTTCAGGAGATGCTGATCTTGAGAAAGTATGGCGACGAAATTTTTGTTTCGCTCCGTCACGCATGATTTGTGAGATGTCGTCACAACAGTCACCAAAATGGGGCAATTCTTAGCTGCAAGATTTCTCAGTAGCGAAAAGTTGTGGAGAGCTCAGGCTCGTCTTAAGTGGTGAAAACACATGTGGCTAGAGGTTAATAGAGCCGAATTTTTGATATCCTACTTTTCAAATTAATGATCAGTGTCAAAAGTCCAAAATTAGAAAAAGTCTCATTAACTTGCAGAAAAATATTTTTCCAAACACAAATCTAGACCGAATATCAAAAATCGGGCTTTATTAGCCTTTAGCCACATGTGTCTGCTTCAGTTTAAGACCGTGCCGAGCTCTTTGCGATGTTTCGTTATCGAAAAATCTGGCAGCTACAGAATGGTGTGTTAAGATGAAAGTCGCCTTCGAGATATGTGGCACCAGTATGTGATGCATGTTTCAGAGCTTCTAGACAAACTCTCATAACTCTTGATCAGAACATCATTCAGAGCTAGGAAATATCTCATTTTGATCAGAAATGTTTGCTCTATTTCCCGGTATTATTGAAAGTATCTTTGGATTTATTTTTTTATCAGAAAGCAAAATATTTTCGACAAGTCAGCTTTTCAAGATTTTCAGAAAAGCTTTCTAAAAACCACCGTATCCCTTCGATGAGGACCAAATCACAGTGAATCCTGATAGTAGACACTGTGGACTATCTGGTGATGTGTTTAGCTTAATATGAGCTTTTTATAAAAAATTATAGGTTTCTAACGAGTGGGGGAGGGAAGCCTTAAGTAAACAAAACCGTAAATAAAGCTTGGTTATTCAAATAGTATAATAATCCTAAGATAATATTATTAGAATATTGAAAAAGCTTCAAACGACGAAGATAAAATGTTCAGGAATTAGTGCCTTCTCAAAATGTTTTAATTTCAATGTAGCTGATATCGTTTGAGGAAGGTCACTGAACTTTAAGTTTTAAATGTTTACTCTTCCTATGATTTATTTGCAAATTTATTTAATTGTTTGTAACAGTTTCGACTTCGATGGAGTCTTCATCAGACAAGAATGTACAAAGAGGCGTTTTGCACCTTTGAGGGGGTCGAGTAGCACATAGCGACGTTTTCTAACCTCAGAAAGAGTTACTTTGTCCAGAAACAATTTTTCCAAGTTGTTATGGAGCCCGAGGACAAAAGGCACATTTCTTCAACCTCTGCAAAATGAGTTATTTATCTATTACTTACGATCACCCTGGCTAAAACTGGTTGTAAAACGTTGTACATGATGATTTCCATAGTCTGAAATATACATATGATCATCTCTATCAAATTATAACTGCAGCGGATTCTACCAAAAAATAAAAACAGTTGTGCATATGTTTTTGCAAACAAAAAGATAAAGTCTTTAAATTGCAGCTAAAGCTTAAAGATAAAATTCATGATAATTCATCGACACCATTTAGATTCAAAATAAAAACAATTGAAAGCCAAAACATCGTTATAACGTAAGTTTTCATATCAAAAAAGGCCCGTGCTGTGGCCAAAGAAGGGGTGTATGCCCTCTCTGCTCTTGGAAAAAAATTCTTCTTAACAATCTGTTTTCTCTCGTGAATTTTGTCTGAACTCTTATTCAGATTTGATAATTAATCTAATCACTATGTAATGAAAACATGCTGTCTCTCACTTTGTCTCCCAAAATAATTGAGAGCAAAATCTTTCTCCCACTTTCCTTCAATGACAAAAAATTCCGAAATCGATGTCAGCATTATTATTGTCATTTAGTTATTGTGTTGAAATTCTGATGGTAGATGATGTTGTCTTCTCGTACTGTTATGGTTTTCACCCAAGAAAATGTACACCCCTTCTGCTTTTTTCTCTCGCTGTGGCACTGGTAAAGATTCTTTCGATATAGACACGACACGCTTAATTTACACATATCATTTTTCTTATTTTAGCCGATATTTTGATTGGTTATTTATTCGTCATTGTTAGAAACTTGTGAGTTTGAAATTTTGTTGGGCAGAGGCGGGAAATAAATCGCAAAGTCATGCTCTTCAGCTAAAAACTTTTTGAAAAGCTGATCTCTATACTAAATTATAGATCAACTATACGATATATATTAATCAAAAATCCGAACAAAGCATATATGTGTAAACTCACTATAACTCCCAAATCAAAATCTGAGACTTCCAATCGACTGACTGTCTGCGATTTTGTTTTGAGGTACAGTAGCCGTAGTAGATAATGGCGTAGTTAGCAGATGTCCGAACATAACAGACTTCTACGAACATGAGTCATTTCCACAACGGATAAATTAAAGTTTGATATAAGAAGATTTCGATCTTAAATTCGATATGCTTTTATACAGAAAGCCGCATGAACCACTTTTTATTCGAAAAGAAAGACGATATGTTTAAAAAATCTGTAGTGATCAGAGGGAACTCATACAATTAGTTAACATTCAAGCCCTACATTACAATGTTGTTGGTTTCGAAAAACAAATACCAGACAAAGACGCATAATAATCACCAACCGAAAAGAAAATTAGAGATAGAAAAGAGCAGACAATGTGAGAATATTTTTGTTTTTTGAATTTAATAAGAATGAAAATATTACGAACTTGAATTAACCATCAGCATGTGGAAGGATAGCTTTTCTTTCGCTACCATCCAGACGTCAATATCCAATCCGAATTTACATCTTAATAAGTGTGAACATGGCAGCGTGGCTCAGTCGGCTAGTGGGCACATAACGTACTTCAAAGATACGGAGTTCGAATCCCGACAACGGCAGTCACGTGATAGTCTTGGACAAGCTATATAATACTCATTGTTTTAGTACCTTTGGGTACAGATGCAATGGGGTAACCCGATTTCAGTGGCCATTGGACTGGAGAGATGAGAATTAAACTTTAAAAAAAAGTGTAAACATTCTGTTCCAATCACTCACACAAGAATCAGTCGATAAAAAAATCACGATCCCATTACTTGATCTCATTTCAAGAGTGCAGCTACAGAAGCTTTAGGAAATATCGAGAGATGCAAATTTCTGGTCATGGGCAAGAGACTATATTTGAACAATAAAAAGATTTAGCGAAAAACAGCAAATTATACAATCGGGGTTGGTTCTCCATTATCAGTAAAGTGTGCGTGCTGGATGTTTTCTATCGGGCACACTCATTTTACGGTGGTTGGAAGTCATACAGGTTTCATTGTTTTAGCAATATGTCAACAACTTTCAATGTTATTAAGCTCAGATTGCTACTTTGGTGGTGAGTTGTCAGCATTGACTAATGACGGTAAAATTGTTCCAACAATCGTCCGCGAAATCATGGTGCACAACGTTAACAAATACATGATAATGGATACAGATGAAACGAGATTATTTGTGATCTGAGAAGATCTTCTTTTTGTTGAGCAGAATTCATTAAAAGACTATAGGATTTAAGATTAAATGATCAAATTTTCTTTCTACGAGGTAACCGTTTGTAGCCGAAAACAAATAACAAGTGTTGAACTAGTTCATAGTTAAACACTAGTGTATAATCTGCATATCCACTGGTTTCACACGTGTTTTACTAGCATGTATGCTGTACATAATAAGTTTTCACAGAGACTAGACCCTTCGTTCGTGGATGTCAACCATACTAGTTAGCGGATATAATGAAGTGAAACTGCGCCTGCCTGGCGTCTCACCAATTGTCTCACTTGGCATATGTATTTAATATGTACGTGTACAATGCCTCATGTGCCGCTTATAACCAACAAGTAATAACGAATATTTTCATGATGATGTTCTAATTGATATGATGACAAAAGGATTGTATCTGCTGTGCAAGAAGTACCTTGAACCGACAATTTGTGCATTCAGTCTGCGCCATTGGCGATGGAAAGACATTCAACGGCCTGCACATGGAGGAAAATCTAGTGGAAAAATCATCTAATGATCAGAATGCTGCAGACGATGCTTATCATTATTTCGATAAAACTTTTATCGAAAGCTACTTGGCTTAGGCTAATTTTAGGAGTTAAACGACTGGTATTTTGAAGACAAATATTTTAACAGATCAAATTAGGGGTGGTACTTTCTCTTTCTTTCTCCCAAAAAAAGGAAAGTATGATATAACTTTCTTTTGTGTTTTTCTCGATGAAGAAAACACTTTATTGCAAAACCAAGCCCATATTCGTGATCAGCGTCGAAAACTGAGTCAAGTGATGCGTTTCGCAAAAACTTGCTGAAAAACTTTTTTTTTCGCAAAATACATCATTTGATTGATCCAGTTTTAGACGCTGATCACGAATATGGGCTTGGTTTTGCAATAAAGTGTTTTCTTCATCGAGAAAAACACAAAAGAAAGTTATATCATACTTTTCTATCTATTTTTTGGGGAAAGGAAAGCGGGAAAGTAAAAAAACTTTCCTTTCCCAAAAGAAAGAAAAGTCAATTTTCTTTTTTTTGGGAAAGAAAGAGAAATTGCCACTCCTAGATCAAAGGCTCAGCCAAATTTATTATTGAACTTTTGCGTAACCAAGAGAAAAATCAGCAGTAATTTTCTTTCTATTATGTTTTTGTCTGTTATGGTTTATTCTTTACAACGCTTTTCTTTCGGTTCTTCTATTGCATGCATAAAAGAAAAAACAATGAAGAAATAGAAATTACCTTGATGACACATTATTCATGCTGTTCGCAAATTCACCTGTTGTTTTGTTTTAGTCGTATTGAAGAAACATAAGTGGACGAAACAAATGGTCATTGTAGAACAGAGTAGTGTAGAAAAACTTAGCTAAAACCTTTGACAATCAGTTTTAATATTAGAGGTCTTACAGATGAGATGCATCGACTTTGAAATTCGATACTGTTGTCGTATTATCTCTCACCACTATTGTTTCTGTCAACCATTTTAGAAAATCCTTTTGTGATCTAATATGACCTCACGATTTCTCGACGTTATTAATGAAGATGGAAAAATATTGCTACCTATTGAAGGTTATCAAAATGTGGATTTATTACCGCTCGAACAAGCTCTTTTACCGGTCGCTCATCTTTTTGACCCTGATAGTCTAAGGTCAAACATTTGGGTAGCAAAGCAACGATCTGAATATCCTCCAAATGGTCTATCTACTGATGAATCGGCGTCCATAATACTGTATACTATTGAATGGACACTCAACAATCATAGTTTATACTATATTTTAAATCAGACATTACGTTTAGAAGATCGAAAGAAATTAAAACCTTGGTTCGCTTATCTGAAATTAATTTTGACGGCTCTCTCAAAATTACCATCTGTCACAAAAACTGTTTATCGTGGCGTGAGAGATGACTTGACACTCCAATATCCATGTGGAAAAGAATTAGTCTGGTGGGGTTTTAGCTCATGCACAGATACCATGAATGTTCTCGAATCTGAACAATTTTGCGGTAAAAATGGCTCGAGAACGATATTTTCTATTGAATGTTTAAATGGAAAATCGATTACACAGCATTCGTATTACAAAACTGAAGATGAAATATTATTATTACCTGCTATTTATTTTAAAGTTCATAGTCAATTTGATGCCGGTAATGGACTTTATATTATTCAACTAAAAGAAATAAAACCGCCATGCGTTCTTCTGCCTCCTGCTGATAAAATACCAACATGGAAACAATTTAATTCAGGTATTTGTCTCGAAGGAACATGTAAAAACTGCGGATGTGAGGCTTATAATCAAACAGTAATCATGCCAATTGGTTTCAGACGATTTGATCTGCTTACTGATGTAAATGAAGTGACAACAAAGTGTCCCGTATGTACCAGTTATGTAGAAGTGGAAAGGTGTGCGTTTAATAATTGTCTATGGCGATGGGAAGGAATAAAACAGAATAGGCCCTTGGAAGCGCCGTCATCTAGTGTCAGTGACTGGAAAAGAGCAGACAATTATATTCATTTTGAACAGGAACTAAACGAACATGTAAGATGGCGAAAACTTGTGTTGGAAGCCAAAGCGATAACCACGTAAAGGTATTTTGTCACATGATTCATTTTTATCCACAGAAAAACATGCAAAAAACATTTTTATGTTTGAGTTGCATAGAAAATAAAATTCGATGTATAAAAATGCGTATAAAAAATAACTTCAATCAATTTTCATACTTGAAAAGTCTTTCTTTCTTTGAATTTTTATCCGCAGTTTTCTTTCTTTACGTGAAAAGATCTAGAGTCATTTTTCATGCATAAAGTATTTATTTTACGCATTCTCTATCGTTTCTCATCCATGTTTGCACGTAAAAGTCGATTTTTTTCAAGCAGATACTTCAACATACCATATTTTATTTGAATAAACTCAGGTTTAGCAACACATTCTATTGTCCAGCACATCATCTGCTCTTAGAAAATCTCTTTACAGGCCACGAGAAAGAGCACATTTGAAAGTACCAAACATAAACTGAGTTTTCACTTTTGCTACACTTTTTAGCGGAAATAGTAGCAGAAGAAAAAGTTCAAGTCGAAAAAAATTTTGAGTTTTGAAAGTTTTCATTTTTTCCGACTTTCATCTAATTGGCTTAGTTTTCTTGATTGAAGTTCTGAAATTATAGTTTAGGTATGATTTTGTAGAGTATTTCGTAGTGCATCTTTTAAAAAACACATCGAGTCTCGGAAACAAATCCAAACCAAGTTATAAGCAAAATACTGAGACTTTCATTTATTCTTCGGTCCACCTGGTACTTTACTTTTTTTCTGTAAAATTCATCTAGAAAAAAATATTATCTGTTTACTGATTTATTATTCCACTCAAATCAACTGATTTTTTGCCGATTTATCCGAACCTTTCGACTGATCGGTCTTGTTCAGTTCGTTTTTTTCTACCCTGCTCCAATTTTGTTATGAGCGCACAATAAACTATTCTTGTTTCAAGCCATTTAGTCAAATAACCATGCTACTCTGACAAAATGTTACCTAACTGAAAAAAAAATATATTTATCTTGAGGAAACAACAAATGAAACAGCATTTTTTATCGAGGATAACACCAACAGAATAATAGCAAATATTGTCAAAAGAATATTAACGACTTTACTAATAATTCGAGGGGGGTGCTCGATGGGTGGTTCGATTCCATGAATCTGACGCTCCAAATTATCAGTCTAAATGAATTATTAGATTTAAAAAAAGTAAGAAAACAAAAAAAATGTGCTTAGACAAAGTATTTCTGTTAAAATTAATATCAATAATGAAAATTTTTTTTTCTAAGAAGCTGCAAATAATCGAGGAAAATGAAGAAACGAAATAATGGGATATTTATTAGCTGAGAAAGCGTTTTCTGCTTCAACACCTTTATCTGAAGAAATACAAGAGCTTGGCTAACGAGGGAGCTTTCCTAGATGATATCTTCCGGTACTGTTCTTTACCAAGTGATCAAATAATAAAACTTATTAGTTATTATCAGGAAACAAGTAATAAATCTTATTATCTTATTACTTATTACTCTTTTCAAGTAATAATCTTTTATTACTTTAATTATTACTAATAAGAAGAAAAGTAATAAAAAGTAATAAGTCAAATAATGAAAAATTATTACAAAAAGAAGTAATAAGTAATAAAACAACACGCTTTATTACCATTTTACCGGTAATAAGTAACAAACGCTTATTACTTTTACGGAATAATGTAATAATTAGTAAAAGTAAAGTAGCACCCCTAATCTTCCATTTCCAATGATTTATAAGCCGATCGATGGAGGATAGGGTCCTAGTAAAAGCTGTAAAAGGATCTGGGTTCTTGTTGCTTCTTTCAAAAGTTATGAAGTTGTTTTGCTGACGTATCCTAGTGGGCTCAGTAATAGTAAAAAATTCATAACTCAGTCAAAACATTGAGATAAGGACTGAAATTTTTTCCTGCAGCTGTGCTAGGAGTCTGCTAGTACAGACAATTTCTGCTTTTTAGCTCTTTGATGAAAAATGTTATGACGTCTCTAGGGGAAATTATGTTTTTTCATGCGATGCTGTGCAGTAAGAACTACAGGTGATTACATGCGTTTCTAGGCTAGTTGTTAAGGTGTATACATACATGAAGATGCTACACAATGACACTGTGACACTGGCAAAAGGGGAGAAAGGGAGAGTATTCTTATGGCCTGACCAAGAGGGAAGATCATAACACCGTCTCCTAAATCATGTGTTTTTCTTTTTTTCTTTGTCTCAGAAAGACAACATTCATGAGACACAGCTGATCGGATATATATTTTTTCTCTACGACAGGATATTTCTGTTACAGAAATTAGCCTAGAAACGCGTGTAATCAGCTGTAATAGAAAAACATAGAGTTCTTACTGCACAGCACTGCATGGAAAACGCGATTTTCCTTAGAGAAGTAAAAACGTCATAACATTTTTAGTCAAAGAGGTAAAAGGCAGAAACTTTCTGTACTACAAACAGACTCCTAGGAGACTTAGAACTTTTACTAGAACCTTATCTTATCGACTGGCATATCAATCATTGGAAACAGAAGGTATCATCTGGGAAAGTTCCATCATAAGAAACGAAAACAAGTTTCACAACGCATTCAGCCATATGATATACCTTTGTATCGAGTTTATCCAATCTATAAAGCGTTTCATTCCAATAATCATTAAATTGATAAATTAATCTATCTTTCAAATTTTTTGAATCTGTTTTGATTATTCTAATTTCAACTTTATCTAAATCGGTCAAATCATTGATTTCTCCATTTAAGCGATCGATTCGTTCACGTTGAATATCAGTTACATTTATTAATTCATCAATTTGTTTCTGAAATGAGAAGTGATTTGTATGAATAACCGAGAATCAATAGTCTTTTACGAAATTTCTCAACTATTATTCTACAACAATAGACTAGTCGATCTAGTAAACTGCTACGTTTCGATCTTTTTTAGCCACAACCACATATGATAATTTCTGAGCCTCTCTTAGAAAAAATATTTCATGCTATCCCTGACGAACATCTACTTTTAAGGCTTGAAAGAGCAAAAAAAGGCAGCTGATGGTGGTGACAGATCAAGACAATTTGAGTTTTACAGAGGAAAGTTCGAAGAAGAAATAGCTCGAGAAAAATATTTTGTTTTTGCTACCCTTCCCGGAAAAATCCTAGGTGTGTCGCTGACGAGACAGCTCTCGAACAATTGAAAAAGCAGTTTTTTTTATTTCTTAATTTTACCTCAAACAACTTTCTTTTTATTGCTCTTACAAGACCATAGAGAGAAATTTTATTTTACATCCTTTCTCATATTTGACTCCTGTTTACGACCCAATTTCTAAGTGTTGTTAAGGTGCAGGTAATTCAAACTTCGAGTGAGATCTTTTTTTGCTTTTTTTTGTACCATTTGATAGAGTGTGAGCTGTTGATCACGAAAAACTACTTTTTAGCCTTAGCAAATACTTCCTTCCGGTCGAAAAATACGAAATACTGCGAAGATGTCATTTTTCGAGAAAAACACATCTTTTTCGAAATGTGCAAAATTTTCTACTTTGTTCATTTTTTCGGCTTCTGAAAATAATTTTTTCAGATTCAGCATCAAAACTGAGTACAGACAAGTCATTAAATCGACTCTAGACTCAAAACTCTAGTGTTGGTGGCGCCTCGAATCGCGTCGACCGAGTCGCGTATAGGTCGATTTTGTAACCCTATCTAGTTTTTCTGCATAAGTGATGGAGCCAAATATTTTATCTCATTCGACTCATCATACTGCCAGTTGCAAAATTACAAGATCATTTTTTTTCTTTTCTTTCCTGTGTCGAGAAAAATTGCTTTTATTGGTATCATAAAACAAACGGGAAGGTCATTTTTAAATAAAATGCCTACTTTCCATTCAAACCAAGTGAAAATTTGTTCACATAGGTAAAAACTGATGACAAATCCAATGGGCATACTTTCTAGATCTCCAGAGGGTCTTCAAGAGGTCTCTGGAAAACCTTTTCCTGAAAGAACAGTTTTTCTTATTTCAATCGAGATTTCATGATCTTTAATCGACAGACTGATCTGCCATCATGCTTTTCTATATAATATCAACGAAAACGTGCAGAATAAAAGTATCGCAATAGAAAATATATGTTCATTAATGTTCGTTTATGTTTGTATTTGATATTCTACGATGTGATTGCACTGACTTTTGCATCTGCTTCAATCTCGGGAAACGTATCATAAAATGAATCAGTTTGTTTACCACCACGTAAATCATTTGAAAATTCTTCATAATCTCCTTTAATAAACACTGTCGCCCATTTATGAGAAGTTTCCGCGGTCATAAAACCAATACTCTTCAAATAGTCATCAACATGTTCCCGCTTAATGTTCAAGAAACGTAACGACATATAAAGCAAAGTACTAAGATATTTTGTGTCACATTTCGACTTGCACATTTCAGCAAGATCACCAATGTCGGTTACCAAAAGTTTGTCTTTAAAACTTAATTCTTCGTCATCAATATCCATTTGATATTCATCATCGGATGAGTCACTTGGATCCGAAATCTTTACATTTGACACGCTCTTGCAGCGTGTAATTGACTGTTCCTTTTATTTGCTTTAGGCATACCAAATTAACTTAGTTCAGTTCCAAACGAAACTATCTTAAAGAAAGACACATGTTACCACTGGTTCTGCTTATACTATGTTTCTTCAAGAAAAGGTTTTACAGAGACCTCTTGAAGACCCTCTGGAGATCTAGAAAGTATGCCCATTGGATTTGTCATCAGTTTTTACCTATGTGAACAAATTTTCACTTGGTTTGAATGAAAAATAGGCATTTTATTTAAAAATGACCTTCCCGTTTGTCTTATGATACCAATAAAAGCAATTTTTCTCGATTTTTCCACTGTTTTATACATTATTTCCATTTTAGCGGACGTCTGATCATTTGTGGACTAAAATAAAACAAAATATCTTTCGTAAACATACAACAGATCATATAGTGAGTAATAGTCTAACGTAAGTTTAATAAAAAAATATCTAAAAGTTTTATAAAAAGATTTGTAATAATCTTTTCTTACAAACCGAAACATTTTTTTTTTCATATCCACCCAGGTCGAAGAATCGTACTAAGATCGTATCTGAATTAGACAAAATCGTACCAATCGTATGAAAATCATATATGAATCGTGGTATCTGATTTGTCCTCTGGATCGTATAATACGATCGTAGTAGATCATATACGATCATACAACTTCGTATGAAATCGTACAGTACGAGCCAGAGGACAAATCAGGTACCACGATTTGTATGTAAATCGTACATAATCGTATATGATTTCGTACGATTCGTATACGATCTTGTACGATCGGATAGTACGATTCAATCACCTGGGCATCGTATGATTGTTCTGATAGGCGATCAGTTAATTCATTATTTGATTCGTCACTAAAAGAAATGACCATATAAGTTCTATTTTTTCACTTTAAACTGTTTAATAACCTACGTAATTCGTCTTTTTTGCGATGGTGATCGTTCATCCATTTGTTTCGTGGGATCATGGATAAAACTATCTCCTTTAACAAACAAACGAATTTTAGACATATGAAAACTGTTGTTATTCTCATATATAGAAACTCAGTCAAATAATCGTTGTAGACACGATAAGGCAATTTTATTCAATGTTAAAACGATTTTACACGCATAGCTCGAGTTCGTTCAGCAACATTAGTTGTACAGTAGAATTGTCATCTAATTAAAGAGATAGGCTCGCAAAAAAAAGGATAAACGGAATATTTCAAAATCTGGAAAACGAATGAAGCGAAAAGAAAAACCTGTTCTATCTGTTATACTTTAAACGAGTAGCACTACGGTTACACTACGCAGATAATGGCGATTATCTTTAATCGTGATTAAACTAACCGCCTAAAGAAACCGCTACTTTCATCACGATTTTTTTTAAAAATCATGGGTAAAGATAATCATGTTCGGAAGATGATTATCTTTAATCGTGATTAATTTTAACCGCCTCTATCGAACAAGGATCATGATAGCGGCGCTTGCATATGACTGTTCAACTGCAATCAGCCTGAACTCTGTTTTGCCTACTTTTGTGGTATCCTGCTCTTTAGTAAAAATAAATCTTATCTTATCTCTCTAAAGTATTTTTCTGGCATTACTAGACTCTGTTACAGATGAATAAATAAATAATTAATAATGAATTTTTTTGTTAAAAATGATTACGCAGAGTTACAAGAATAAAATGAAGGCAAAAAGATGTTGGTGGTCTAAGGAAGAAACAAACTTGCTGTTAAATTTGTTAAACGATGAAATAATACCGAATGAAATAGCAAATCATCGGAATCGTGGCGGTCCAAAAAAAGTGCAAGAAGGTTTATTAGCAGACGGTGTCAACAAATCAATTGATCAGATTAAGAGTGTTACTGTATCCATGTCAACTTTGCCAACACAAAAATGAATTTTCTCCTGCACACTGAGTATTTATAGTTATGGCTATCACGAGTTAAATCACGATTATCTTTTTAATCGTGATGAGTGTGGTTACACACATTTCTGTTCAATGTGATTAAATATTGTTAATCATGATCCAAAATAAATTCGGTTACACTAGAAAATGCTTAATCGTGATTATTTGAGTAGTGTAGCCGTAGTATAAGTAACATGAATACACGAAACTCGATTCTTAAGATATAGTCCGTGAGAAAACCGCGTTTTTCTGACATACTTTCCACCTCCTCAATTTCAAAATTCGTTTTTGATCACAGATTCTGAAAGAGCGTATACGATTTGGTCAGAAAACTATTAAAAATTCTTTTTGAAAACCCTTCGGTACAGCGCGCCGGACGTCTGGGACCCATTAACAGTGATCATTTTCGTACTTTTCAGTATTATCGCTGTAATTTTGTCATGAAAAGCGATACAAAGCCGGTTGATATTTTGTTTGATAGAGGATCAAATAGAGATTTAGTGCTGAAAAGCGAGGGTCATTCCGATTTAATCTCGCTTTTCTAGGGTCAAAACTGGGGAACTAGGGGAAAAACTGCATGACAACCGATAGAAAAACTATTATTTCTCCATGGCTTTTGATGCGAAAAAATCTGAAGTGTAGCCAAAAGATAGAATCAAGTCAGGGCTACAAAATGGCTAATTCACTTTTTCTTACTTTCAAATCGTTAACACAATAAATCATTTTGAGTTTGGAAAGTTTTCATTTTTTTCGACTTTCATCTAATTGGCTTAGTTTCCTTGATTGAAGTTCTGAAATTATTGTTTAGATATGATTTTTTGTAGAGAATTTCGTAGCGCATCTTTTAAAAAAACATCGAGCCTCGGAAACAAATCCAAACCAAGTTATAAGCAAAATACTGAGATCCTCATTTATTCTGACCCGCCCGGTACTTTATTTTTTAAACATGAGAAAAAAGCTTATTTCCGTTCAGTAGAACGGATCTAGATTTATGAAATGTAATAACAATCGGTACTTTGAAAGTTAGTAATCAATATTTTCTTTTTCGTTCAGTTTTATTCGACTAAGAGCTTTTTAGAAATACGCTGTCACAGATAGACCGGTTCCAACTCTGGCTCATAGATATTATACTCATTTTACTCATATCTTTTATCCGAACTCTTTCACATACTAAGTATTAAAAATAGAAATTACATGAATGATCAAGAACATGTGATAGGGATTTTTTTTTGTTTTTCATTTTTAGAATTCACGCATTAACAATTTTAATATTGGCATTATCGTGGCTTACTATTCATTACTTGCTAGCAACTTATCTTCAAACATCATTTATGAAAAGTAAGAGAAAATTATTTATCTTATAATTGCATTTTCTAATGGTTATATCTATCGGAAGTATACTTGCGATAGACCTTTAGCTCAAACTATAGTTTGAGCTAAAGGTTAATATTTCCATTAGCTTTGTTTAACCACCAACCTCTTAAGGCAGTTCAGTTATATTTTGAGAAAATCTAAATTCATTGTACACTCTATACCATTTACTTTGACATTTTTAATTATTTTTAGATTTCACAAATATTTTTAAAGGTTCAAGACAAGAAAGCTATTCTTCTAATTAATATCTGTAATATATGTTTATATCAATTTATTCTGTGTCCATTAATGGCAATTTATCTTCACTTGAGTACCGTGTAGTCTCTTGCCTATTGTTGATACAAAGAACAAAATAACAACAACAAAGAGTACCGAGTGATTTTTATTTCCCACTTTCGCGCTTTCTTTCATAATTCATTTTTCTCCAACATTAAGTGTGCCTGTTTAACATTTGTCTACATAATGGTGTGATCGTGAAAATTTTCGATGTTGTAATGCATGAGATGCTGGAAGATGCATGTTGATGCTGATCTTGATAGGTGGATGTAATCACTACTGCACAACTTACACCACCGGCAATATTATGAATTTTTACCTTTTTACAGTCTTAGACTTTTAGAGTTTTCGACTTTTGGCTTATTAGACTTTAAGACTTTTAGCCTTTTAGAGTTTTACACTTTTACACAATAGACAGAACCGAACAAATTTCACTTCTGCAGTAAATTACTGCTAAAGTAAACTTTGACGTTCTGTCAGATGGTCTGACAGAAAGTCAGTTTACTTTTGTGGTATTTTACTGCAGAAGTGAAATTTGTTCGGTTCTGTCTATTGTCTGTGCAAGGATTGTCTTTGTGTGATAAATCTTTGCTGCATACTCACTCATACTCTGATGAATTATCTAGCCTAAGTAAAAACTATCTATTAGTTTATATACTTTTACACTTTCAGACGTTTAGAGTTTTAGACTTAACTACTTTAATACTTTTAGACTTTTACAGTTTTAGCGTTTTAGAGTTTAACACTTTTGCACTTTTAGACTTTCACACTTTTAGAGTTTTAGACTTTTAGCTAATTCGAATTTTACACTTTTAAACTTTTAGACTTTTAAAGTTTAAGACTTTTAGATTTTTAGAGTTTTAGCGTTTCAGAGTTTTACACCTTTACACTTTCAGATTTTCGGACTTTTGGAGTTTTAGACTTTAATCTTATTAGAGTTTTAGGCTTTTAGAGTTTCAGCATTGTAGAGTTTTACACTTTTAGACATTTAGAGTTTTGGACCTTCAGAGTTTTAGACTTTTAGGCGTTTAGAGTTTTACATTTTAAGCTTATTAGACTTTTGGAGTTTTAGATTTTTACAGTTTTACACTTTCAAAGTTTTCGCTTATTAGAGTTTTACTTTTAGCTTTTTGGACTTTGAGACTTTCAGAGTTTTGGCGTTTTCGAGTTTTACTCTTTTAGCCGTTTAGGGTTTTAGACTTTAAGAGACGTTTCGTCAAAGCATCAAGCATACAGCAAAAGAGCCGTAACGTGAAATTTTTTAACATATACTTTTTATTATATTTTTGGATTCTACAATCAAAACTAAGGTTATGAAAAAATTATTAGCCTTCCAGACGTTATTTTGACTGAGTTATAGAATTTACAAAAGGAGGTTCATCGAAAAACTGCGAAAAAGAGTTATGAGTGATATTTTGTCTGCAACTTCGTTAGTTTTTGTCCATTCTGTTCGAGCAACCTCTCATTCGAAAGCCCATTAAAAACCGAACAAAATGATGCGTCGTTTAGTTTTTTGAAGGTCGATCTGGGTTCTCCAGAGTCCAACCAAGTGGAAAACCACAGTTTGGAAACCGCATTTTTT